AGAGTCTAGTGCTGGGTCCTGCCTTCCTGGAGCTGATTTGGGAGCTTTAGAGGAGAGAATGACCATCGACAGGATTCAGTGCATTTCAGCTTTGAAAGCAGACAATTGTCATGGAGGGCCATGTGTAAAGAAGAATGTAGGTGTTTAAATGGGATTATACTTTTTTATGGTCAACCAACATTGAATCCATGAACATAAAGTAATGAGACTTGACTCTCTTCTGTGCCTCAACAATGGGTTCTGTGGCAAGTGTCAAAACTGGTTGGCCCTGTGGGTGGTTGCAAATGTGCCAGCAGCATTAGAATCAGAGATTACTTTGATGATCAGTACTCATTTTAATGCCTAAGTTCTGATATGTATTTTTTAATTTTAGTTTTTGCATCTTATTAATGTATAGTCTGTATATTTTTTGGTAAGCCCAATTGGGATAGTTACTGCCTTTTGATAATCATGGCAAGAAAGTAAAATCTTTCTTTCCCCAGTCATTAAAAATAACTTTACCCCATAAACTATTGTAAATGAACCCTGTGCATATTAAAGAGCTCACAGAACTTGAGTTGAAGCCTCTTTCTTTGGGAATGAGAGTGATTGGCAGAGGAGGAAGTGAATCAACAGAAGTTCCAGAAAATTTCTCCTAAATAATATGATCCTTTTAATTTAAAAAATGATTATATTTTTCTTAATTTAGGTCTCTTTACATCTGCAATAACACGATCTTCATGCTTCTTACCAGCATGCTAAAATTTTTTGTGTAATTTTACCTTTAGGTATCAGACAACCATCTACTAAAATGTCTCTGTGCTTTACGTGTCTTCTAACTACATATTTCTTTGCAAAGAAGTTTGTTAAAAATTAATCTCACCATGGTTTTCTCTTAAAATATATATATTTGTTGATTTTAGAGAGAGGAAGGAGAAGGATAGAGAGAAACATCGATCAGCTGCTTCCTGCACGCCCCCTACTGGGGATCAAGCCTGCAACCCAGGCATGTGCCCTGACTGAGAATTGAACTGGTGACCTCCTGATTCATGGGTTGATGCTCAACTGCTGAGCCACACCAGCTGGGTAATATCACCATACTTTTTGATTCTAAGACAAAACCATTTTAAGATGCAATATCAATTTAATAGATTTGGGAGAGAAAAAACTTATTAAATATGTTTATTGTAAAATGAGTCTTGATTTCAAAAGCATCAAAATGTGAAGGCATGTATCTTCTCATTAAGAAAATATAATAATTTAATTAAATGCCTTAACACATGATGAGTTAGGGTTAGCCGTTGGTGTTATTGTCTTCCATATGTGGTTGTTGTTGCTATTTTTATTTTTGGTATGTTAATAATTACTGAAACTGATTACCCTGCTTGAGGAATTCATAAATCTGTCTAAATCAAATCAGGTGTTTACCTGAGGTTTCTTTATAGTCACATGTATTTTATTTTTTTAGATCTTTTTTTTTTAAGTATTTTTATTGATTTCAGAAAGGGAGGGAGAGAGAGAGGGAGAGATAGAAACATCAACGATGAGAGAGCATCATTGATCAGCCGCCTCCTGGATGCCCCCCACTGGGGATCAAGCCTGCAATTCAGGTATATGCCCTTGACCAGAATTGAATTCGGGAACTTTTAGTCTGTAGGCTGACGCTCTAGCCACTGAGCCAAACATGTATTTCACTTGTATTTTAATTTTATAGGCTTTTTGGTCTTTATTCTAAAATCTCAACAATAATCTCAAGTTTGTTTTACATAAAAAATTAATGTAGAAAGGCAATTTAAATCAACCATAGGTCGAAGTTATTTTATGCTTAAGAGAGTGTGGAGAATTATAAGAATGTAAATATCCTATTATCAGTGGAAGTCTCTCCCTCAAATTTCAAATTTCATGTGTATCCTCCAAAAATCCCATGTAATATGAGACTAAATTCTTTCTCTCCTTTCCAGACATTCTTCTTTGGGAATTTCAGTTGCTTAAGGAATCATTTTTTACGGTTTTACAAATCCTATTTTCCCATGACTTGAAAGCAAATAAAATTCTGCTTTGGTAAATTTCCCTTCTATGTAGCTAGGGGAGCTAGCGCAGCTGCTCTAGGTCCATGTCTTCATGTTTGCTGTATCATAAAGAACCAAAAACAGATGCATATGTTTTCATCATCATTGTAGTCACTTTTGAAATAGAAAAAAAAAGAGAGAGAAACTGTGACTTAAATTGTATATATTTTTTGCTTTGTTTTCTCTGAAAATGTTCTTTGTATAATGCCATACCTTTCCCATGTGTGTTGTTGAATTAGGCACAACCCAAAAGATTTGGATATTCAATTCCCCTTCTAGCAGTAGAAGCTGTTTTTCCATGGTAACCAGATTTAACCAGGCAACTTTTTAAGAATTTTAGGTCAGGATCCCTAAATCCTAACTACATTTCCTAATCTAAAGGAATGTCAGGACCAAAGTTACATTTATTTATTTATTTATCTATCCATTTATTTATTTATTTATATTTTTAAATTGATTTCAGAGAGGAAAAGAGAGGGAGAGGGAGATAGAAGCATCAATGATGAGAGAGAATCACCAATCTGCTGCCTCCTGCACATCCCCCTACTGGGGATTAAGCTGCAACCCGGGCATGAACCCTGGCCGGGAATTGAGCTGTGATCTCATGGTTCATAAGCCGATGCTCAACCACTGAGCCATCCTGGCTGGACCAAAACTACTTCTCAAAGAAGGGAAACAGTCAACTTGTCCATTATATTTTCTAGCACTTTAGTAAATTTGGAAATGTATGTATAAGAAATCAAAAATTGTCAATTGAGCAGAAATTGCTGTTTGGAAGTAATGTTGGGTCATCTAGAATTCTGTGGTCTGCAAACCGCGGCTCACGAGCCACATGCGGCTCTTTGGCCCCTTGAGTGTGGCTCTTCCACAAAATACCACATGCGGGTGCGCATGTACAGTGCGATTGAAACTTTGTGGCCCATGCGCAGAAGTCAGTATTTTGTGGAAGAGCCGGTATTTTGTGGAAGAGCCACACTCAAGGGGCCAAAGAGCCACATGTGGCTCGCGAGCCGTGGTTTGCCAAGCCGCAGTTTGCCGACCACTGGTCTAGATCATTTCATGACACTTTGAAGCTTTGATTGAATATGTGGTGTCTTAATAGTCTAAACTAATTGTGCATGCCCATCCAAATAGTGTTAATATTTAGTTGACATCAAAACTATTCATTCATCAATATTTTGCTTATCTCTTCATTTTAGTTTTATGAAAGTATGTGAATATTCTTCTAAATCATTTAGCATTCCAAACAATTAACTCAAGGATTCATTATACCCTGTGCACAAAACAAACAAATACCCACAAAACTATTTAAAATGAAGTGTTCATTTGACTCAAAATGGTTCTAATTTCTATATAATAAAGGAAGTTCCTTTCTAGGACTTGGTTGAGTTTTAAAACTTATTTTTTCAATAATTTTTACAGGACTTTAAATCAAGATTCTTTAAGTAGTTCAGTAAATAAAAGTCTTCAAATAAGTTATAAGAATAAAATATTAATATTGAATTAAATTTATGGAAAATATTTTTAAATTACCAGGTATATCATTTTTATGTAAAATTTTAATTATCTAAGACTTCTGAACTGTAGAATTCTGCTGATAGCTCAGACATGCCTATACTTCCCCAATGTACCATTTTGTGGAATGTTCATGGATATTCCAGAAGGAGTCAAACGTGAACTAAGTTTCGGAAATATTAACTGCTGTATCATTTCTTGTCTCCACCCCGACTGCTGGAGCCTATTAGCACACTGACAGCTTTGAGATGTCCATAATAAAAGCACACACACAGTACAATAGAATGCAATCATTTAACTTTATTTAGCCCAACATCTTCCAAGCTTCTCTGACCACAGAAAGCTTCCTCTGAAGATCCTGAATCGCACAGTATCCAGCAAGTCACCTCGTGCGTTCTGAATATATAACATTAAGGTTTCTGAATATTATTATCCTAGTTATTTTGTAAAAAGTAATAATATATATCTTTGGTTGACAGTCTTAGAAATTTCAGGCTAATAAATACTACTTACTATAAATATGCTAATAAATTATACAGAAATGTGCTATTTTATCTCAAGGAATCTTTTAAGGCACTTTATAATTAGCAGTCATGTGCATGCATTTGCTGAATCCTATTTTATTTTATTATTTTGTTTAACTATATTTTTATTGATTTCAGAGAGGAAGGAAGAGGGAGAGAAACATTGATGAAGAGAGAATCATTGACCGGCTGCCTCCTCCAAGTCCCACACTGGGGATCGAGCCCATAACCTGGGCATGTGCCCTGACTGGGAATTGAACCATGACTGTCTGGTTCATAGATCAATGCTCAACCACTGAACCACGTCAGCCAGGCAATATTTTTAAAATTATACAGCATTGACCAACTCTAATCTAATCTTGAGAAAGTTCTTATAAAACTTCTAAAATAATTATTGGTGAAGTTAATAAGTATGACAAATTGATTTATATTAGTTAATGTTGACTTTTGTTTTCTATAGAAGGGAAATTAGTCATGAGGTTTTTGGGGTGGGAGGAATAAGTTTTTAAACAATACACATATGCTTTGATGCCTGTGTCCAAATAATCATGGTGCATGAATTATGCCTCTCATTGATGTTAGCTACAAAATGAGAACTCGAAAATCACCTCCGTTGTGGATTTCATCAAGATTAAAAATGTTAGTATCCTAACCTACAATCACATAAAACGCTTGCATAGAGTTCCAATTTTTAATTTACACTTTCTTTGAATTATCTTACTATCTCACCCTTTTATTTATTTTTCTCTTTTGCCCAAAACACTCAAATTTAATCTTTCAGGTACCAAGTCTTCTAAGGCTTACTCATCAGTTGAAAGTGTTTTGTGTAGTTTCTCCTCCTCTTTTTCAGATTTCTCTCTCCTCAGGATACTTGGGATGATGTCCTTTTCTCCTTGACTTTGTGTGCCTATTTCTTGTTTCAGATGAAGAGGAAGCCTCCCCGTCTTTTGTCCTGCCTCCAGGTTAGGATGATCCCAAACCCCTTCTCTCCCCCACTTTGTAATTTATTATTAACTTGCAGTAAAGGAAAAGAAAAGACAGAACACCTTGATGAGACAAGGTACAGAGCAGGAGGTGTCAGAGCTAAGAGGAAAAACGATGGCTTTAATGGCAATTTTGTATTTTTTTTTTAACATGAGGACATTTTTAAAAAGAGTCTTCCTTTGTGAAGTAAATGAGATGCATAAATCTTGGATACAAATTTTAGGGGCAAAAATATTTGTCTTTCATTTGTTTTTGTTTTTTAAATATTATTATTGGTTTTAGAGAGAAAGGGAGAGGGAGAAAGAGAGAGAAACATCAATGATGAGAGAGAACCATTGATTGGCTGCCTCCAATCAATGCACACCCCCTACTGGGGATCGAGCCCACAACCCCAACATGTGCCCTGACCCAGAATCGAACTGTGACCTCCTGTTTCATAGGTCGAGGCTCAACCACTGAACCATGTCAGCTGAGCAATCTTATTGTTTTTTATTTTATTTTTGTTAATTCTTACGCGAGGGGTTTTTTTCCATTGATTTTTAGAGAGAGGGTGGAAGGGAGGGAGCGAGACAGAGAGAAACATCGATGTGAGAGAGACACATCCATTATGGCCTCCCCGACATCCCCGGAAGTTTTTTTTAAAGTGTTTTTATTGATTTCAGAGAGGAAGAGGGAGACTGAAACATCAATGATGAGATAGAATCATTGATTGACTACCTCCTGCACGCCCCCTACTGGGGATCAAGCCTGTAACCCGGGCATGTGCCCTTGACTGGAATCGAACTTCAGTCCTCAGGCCAATGCTCTATCCACTGAGCCAAACCGGCTAGGACTCACTGTTTTTTAAATAAAACCTCTTTTTAGAGATGCTTTCATAGTTGAAGCTCTGCTGATTTTCCATCCAAGCCAATTTCTAGTTTTTTCTCTCCCTATTATCAGGAGAGGGTTTGGGGGATCCAAGGAGGTTGCAGTCAGCACTTCATTGGCGCCCCTTTCCTCTTGCATCATCCAGATCACGCTTTCCTTTCAGGTTTGGGTAGTCGGGCCCTGGAGAGAAAAGATTCAGGTGAGCAGATGCCTGGAACAATCACTAATGACCTCATTTCTTGAAGCTGCATTGATTCTAATCTTTGTTTTATTCAGTTTGTAGCTCTGATAGCCATCTTTCATTACGTTACATTTCTTACAAGAAAACTAATGTATTGAGAAACAATTAATTTTGCATGATACATATACACAAATTCAGGAATCTACATACATACACCACAGGTTGTTGTTTTTTATTATTATAACTATCATTTAACAAATACAGAGAGATTAAGAAACTTTTAAAACCTCCACTTAGAGAGTGCTGAAGTTAGATAATAATTCACATTTTTATAGAACTTTACATATAGTTGATAAAACACCTACAGATGCATCCTGCCAGCTGTGCTACAATTCATTCATTCAATAAATTTGTGTTGAGTGCCTACTATGATCCCACTATGGGCTTCTTAAGGGCCAAGCATTTGTAGGTATAGAAATGAAAAAAAAAATAGTAACATTTCTGCCTCGTGTTCTAAATGTGAATGATCACTATTCACTATTATTATTAATATCACAGACACACAACATAAATTTTTAACAACAACTTTGTTATTAAAAATCATGTAATCATGTGACTCATTGCATAACTTCATTGTGATAATGATGGTCTCTGTGGATAGAAATACTGAGCATGATTGACACATGAAAACTAAAATAACTAAAATTTACATTCCCTTCTTTTCAAGAAGCATTAACAGGTAAAACTGGTAACCCAAGCTTTTTTTCCAGCTATTTAAGCAGCTGAAACTGAACTTCTCTGAATTCAGCTCTCAGAGACAGAGGGAATATCTTACATTCTCTCTCCCACCCCCCTCATTGGAGTTGACTGATGACTAATCCAAGCTAAGAACCTGGAGTGCAACTAGAAAATGCAAAATAAACTTCATTTTCAGGTTCTCTCTCTTCATGGGAAAGCCTCAAAGAGTTTTTTCTTTCTGTTTTTTTCTGAGCTCTCCCCTACCTCCCACTCAGGATGCTCCTAATATACTTGAAACTTGTACCTGCAGGTCATGATCTGTTACTTAATTGTCCAACTATGGCCACATCTGTATGATCCTTATAAAATTGTCTAATTATACAATAGCAAGACATTTAGAAATACCAGGCCAGACTTGGTTGTCTCACCCTTCCCAATTGACCTGCAAACTGACCCATTAAACTCTTTTTTTATATGTGTATAGCCTCATAGTCAGTTACCTGCAAAAATAGTGAGAGTACTGATTTAATATACTTCTCACCATTATTTATTTGTTAGGGGTCAGGCAGGATGGGAAAAGAAAGGAACCATGGCTTCCAAGAAAGACAGAATAATACCCTACCTGAAAAGTGTTAGTTTCTAGGAATTAGAAAATGTTCCTTTATCCCATCATGGAAGAAACATCGATGTAAGAATGGGAACCTGTCACTCTCTACTGATGACTGCAGGGTGATGGATCGAAAGAGTGGTGTTACATTTATCCAGGTTGACTAGACAAAGTCAAGCTTCCACGATGAGAATGACAAACCCAGGTAAGTCCACCTCTGAAGAACCTGGCCCTGAAATGATCCTTTTCCTCCTTTCTGCTCATTAGAATGGTCTCTTGGAGAATCACCTGCCACAGAGGATCATGACAAGCAGGATGCCAATTCTCAGCTGTCCATCCTGTTCGTGGAAAAGCCTCAGACAGGAACAGTGAAAGTTGGTGAGTCGAAAGCATAAATCCTGCTTTAAAAAAATGCACAATGTAAATGAAATTCACATAACAAAAAATCAACCATTGTAAAGTGAACAACCAATGGCTATTAGTACACTCAATGTACGACCACTACCTCTATCTAGTTCCAAAACTTTTCGTCATTCCAAACAGAAACCTTGTACCCCCATTAAGCAGTTACTCCCCATTCTCCCTCCCCTCAGCCTCTGACAACCGCTAATCTCCTTTGTCTCTGTAAATTTTCCTATTCTGGGTATTTCATATAAATGGAATCACACAATATGTGACCTTTAGTGACTGGGTTTATCCATGCCGTAGCATAAATCAGTACTTCCTTTCCTTTTTATGGCTGAACTAGAGGCCTAGTGCACAAAATTCATGCATGGACTCGGGCTGGGGGGGGAGGCGGGGTGTCCCTCAGCCCAGCCTGCACCCTCTCGCAATCCAGGACCACTGGCTCCTAACCGCTTACCTGCCTACCTGCCTGATCACCCCTAACTGCTCCCCTACTGACCTAATCACCCCTAACTGCTCCCCTGCTGACCTGATCGCCCCTAACTGCCTCTGCCTTGCCCCGCACCCATGACTCAGAATTCCCTCCTCTGGCTGGTCACAGGCACCCGGGACCCGGGCCAGCTTCACCCGGGCTAGCCACAGCCACAGGCACCTGGGACCACAGGGCGGGCGGCTTGTCCCTCTCCCAGGCTGCAGGTGCAAGCACAGCCACTGGCACCCAGGACCGTAGGGCAGACAGCTTGTCCCTTGCCTGGGTCGCAGCCTGACTGGTCCCCATTCCTCTCTTTCAAGCTCATTTGTGTCTGGGTGGTTCCTATTCTCTCCTCATTGTTGAGTGTCTGAGTCATTAAGGCGTGATGGCATGAGGGTGTGATGACCATTTGCATATTAGCTCTTTATTATATAGGATAGTATCCCACTGTATTTCTATATTAAATCCTTGAAAAGGTGAGTAATCATTTCAGTACACTTTAGTATGTAGGAGTTGAGTGGTTGGAGCCTGGAGCCTGGAGCCAGGTGGGATACAAATAGATTTCTTCATTTGTCAAGTGGGGATAATACTACCTGTGAAGTACTTTGAATAATGCCTGGCATATCTTATATCTCTGAGCCAGTGTTTGCTGTCATTACAACACGCCTCATTCTGTAAGATGATTACACTATCAGGATGTATAGTGTCTCAGAGGAAGCTAGTCAAACAGATGATTCAACTTTGGAGATACTCATGAAAGAATACTGATTGCGCACCTGTTAAAACACTATTCTGAACTCTATAACATGTGAGCACTCAGAACTTGCAGTTTTAACAGGATGCGCGAAAACAACAAATTAAACAAACAGATAATCACAAAAACCATGAAGGAAATAAGCAGGGTGGTGAGTTAACAATTTGGGGTCCAGGAATTTTTAACTAAATTTTTATAAGAAATATACTGGGCCCTGACCAGTTTGGCTCAGTGGATAGAGTGTTGGCCTGCTGATTGAAAGGTCCCAGGTTCGATTCCAGTCAAGGTCATGTACCTTGGTTACGGGCACATCCCCAGTGGGGGGTGTGCAGGAGGCAGCTGGTCGATGTTTCTCTCTCATCAATGTTTCTAACTCTCTATCCCTCTCCCTTCCTCTCTGTAAAAAATCAATAAAATATATTTTTTAAAAAAGAAACATACTGGGATGAGAACTGGTCTTTGACACTTACCAAATAGTATGCATATGAGCCTATGGTTGCCTATATTCTTTCAGGTCAGGAATATAGAAGCACACCTCATGTAAATGGAAATGTCAGATCCCCTTATGTTTCCAGAAGACACCAAAATGCTGGGCTGGCCCTGGAGCTAGAGTTTTCATGTACTTAGGGTCTTAGCAGTAATCTGTCAATTCAAACAGATAGGAAAGTTTATTTCAAAAAGAGTAGCTTCATATAATCATATTCCCATAATTCCAGACTTCCCATTACTTGCTTAATAAAAAAGATTTGAAAAAATTTATACACTATCTATAATAATAAAAACATAATATGCTAATTAGACCTGATAGCCAAACTACCTTCCGGACACCATTCCAAATGAAACCGCAGTGGCAGGGGCCAAGGCAGAGGCGGTTAGGGGCGATCAGGCAGGCGAGTGTTTAGGGGCAATGAGGCAGGCAGGCAGAGTGGTTAGGGGCAATCAAGCAGGCAGGCAGGCGAGTGGTTAAGAGCCAGCGGTCCCAGATTGTGAGAGGGATATCCAACTGCCAGACATCCCAAGGGATCCAGGATTGCAAAAGGGTGCAGGCTAGACTGAGGGACACCCCCCAACCCTCCGTGCATGAATTTTGTGCATTGGGCCTCTAGTATATATAGATTTGTCTACATACATTTGTGAATTTTTCACCATTTTTATTTCATATATAGAATATCAACCCCCCCCAAATTATTTCTATTAATTAACCCATTGCTCCTTTTTTGTTCCATAAACCTCAAACACAGGGTAAGTTGGAGAATCTAAAGACCTTATAAGGTGCTTGGAAAATAATCAGGGCCATTTTGTTGCACAATTCTATGGGCACCAGTCTCATCATAGTGTATGCAATGCAGTCCCATATAACTCCTTCCAGTTGATAGCAAAACAAATGACAGTTTTTTTAAAATGTAATTTAAAAATGACAGTTTTTATTGATTTCAGAGAGAGGGAAACATCAATTGGCTGCCTTCTGCATGATCCCCACTGAGGATCGAGCCCCAAACTCAGGCATGTGTCCTGATGGGGAATAGAACTGGTGACCTCCTGGTGCACAGGACTATGTTTCATCAACTGAGAGCCGCACTGGCTGGGCCAAATGACAATTTTTAAAGCAGTCTGAATCACTTGTGCTTTTTCTAGGTGAAAATATCACCTTTATAGCCAAGGTCAAGGCTGAAGATCTTCTTAGAAAACCCACTGTCAAATGGTTTAAAGGGAAATGGATGGACCTGGCCAGCAAAGCTGGGAAGCATCTCCAGCTGAAGGAAACCTTCGAAAGGCATACTCGGGTAAGGCCCTGAACTCCTGGCATAGGGGCCTGGCCAGCTCATCCCTTCAGGGTGGATAAAAGGTCATTTTTATGTTCAGCTTTGAGAAATTTCTGTCCCAGAAAATTCTCTGGCATTAGTGTTCCTAGCATCTACCCTTAGCACGCTTGCGCTGCTGTGCCCAGAGGCTGTGGAGCACAGGACCCCTCCTCTATTGAGAGCATCGTCATAGAATCCACAGATACAGACGCGTTTTTAAGACAGTGCTACATGGTTGGGGGAAAAACTAAAATGTGATGGCATCTTTCTGCCAGGTAGGACTGACATGTGTCGGATGCATTTCCTTGCAGATATATACATTCGAGATGCAGATCATCAAGGCCAAAGAGAACTATGCAGGAAACTACAGATGTGAGGTCAGCTATAAGGATAAGTTTGACAGCTGTTCCTTCGATCTTGAAGTGCGCGGTAAGAGAGCGTTCTTGTCTGAATAAATGTGATTTTTTTTTTTGATGGGGCATGAGGGGTTGGAGGAGAAGGCCATTTAATGCTATGATATTTTAAAAATAAAGTTTCCTTTAAAACTGTGTGTTTCTGGTTGTCATGGTCCCAGCAAGCTTGCTGAATTAAATAGTTATGAGGTGATTTACAAGGGGAAATTGGGGATATTATTGCTGAGCATCTCTTGTTCATGCTACCTGTATCCCTTCAATCTCCCAAGTAAGGGCTGAAGCTGTACTGAATGTACATGCTTTATTGGGTCCACGTATTTCCACTCAGGTTTGGGGATAAGTTAATATGGCACAAAGATGTTAGGATACCCAGGTGGAAGGGAGGATTCGCCTTATAAGGACAGAGATGAGATA